GCACTGTTATTTTTTCTCCATAAGGACAAGAGATTTATCCAACAATAATCCTCAAATATTAAAAAAACTAATAAAAATATTTTGCAAGTAAAAATTATTTTATTATTGTGAACTCATTGCAAGTGATTTCAGAATAACATTTTATTGAGTACTGCATTCTTAGTCTTTACTGTATCAAATGTCTTCCCTGGGGAGGTTGCCCAGTTAAGAACATAAGTTATTCTTTACTTTTTCAAAACTGAAATATGACATGTAGCATAAAGGTAATTGGATGATATATCATTCAATGAATAATAATCTTCTAGGATAGTGTATATTATCTCATTATTTGACCTTCTGAAAGATCACTTTTGGTTACATAAGCTGCAAATTAAACTGCTGAATACAATTTATTTATAGATACATACTGATTTGTTTACAAATATTACGAAAAGTATATGTAGTTCAAAAAACATAATGAAAATCACAGGTAGTGTTTTGTAGAAAGTAATTTTTTTCAATTATTTTATGGTATGGATTCTGTTATGCACAGTACAAACATACACACACACAGTATCTTTTCATCAACAGCTTTAGTTTATAAAGAAAAGTTGCAATACCTAATGAAACTCCAAAATCAGAACACCAATAGAGGGGAATATTACATAATAAAAACAAAATTATCAAGGTGTTACTGATCTTAGGTGCTCTAAGATTCAACTTGTTTGGTTTGGTTTTTTTAATCTTTTTTTCTTCCACTACTATATCTTGAATTTGTGTTGGGCTACCAACTAGTACACCAGAATTCCACTATGCCATGATTAGGAAAACACAACATGTTCCATCAACCAATACAATGTGGAAACACGCAGGCATTTCTCTAAAGTTAAGTTTTATCTGCATTCCAAACACAATCCTTTTCCAAGCCAATCTTCAAACCAGTTGTAGTAAACAGTGTTCTAAAGGGTGTAACACTTTCAGAATGTCACATGTATAGAATAGTGAAGGACATCTTGTTCAATCATTTTCTCTTTATTCCTCACAACTCTGTTGAGACACCCAGTTAGATTAATGTAAACCTAAACAGTGTTCAGGCTGATCAAGTCTTCCAGTCAAAAGAATATGTTCCTTTCTTAACTCTGGAATGAATTCCACTTATCCAATTAATTCCATTTATCATAGATAAATATTGCTGATAGCAGAAGGTAGTTTTAAACAATGCTCATTCTGTTCCTACAATATCCTAAGTATCACTTGAAGGTTGGCTTGGTAGTGTTCTTAAGATTGCTGCTCAAACATAAACTCTCTAAAACATATCAGATTACTCCTCAGTTCAAATACAGTTGACTGCTTTTTGAGACAATTTTACTCCATAACAGATAGAAAGATGTCACTCTTCTTGTAAGTCACTGAGTACACTGTTGGTTCAGCTTTGTTGAATTTCTCCACTGCCAGTCAATACATTTGACACTTCTTTGTGAAGCTGCTGACATCAGGCCTGTCCATGAAACCAGCTGTGTGGAGCCTATAAATACATTCATTTCAGATCTCTGGTGTACATGAAGAGATTTTTACTGCTAAAGGTAACTCTTTTAAACCATAAAAAAGAACCACTTAATCTAGATTATTCTTAATCTGAATTATATATGGTTTTAGAGATTAAGAGGAATTTACATAGGTATTTATTCCTTTCTCCTGATGAAACTGAAAAAATGATGGGAAAAACTATGGTGCTTTTTTTTTTTTTTTCTAGATTTGAACATACAAATTCAGAAACAAGGTTACAAGTCTACAGGGGACAAGAGTTCTTTGGAGTTACAGGCTTATTATAAATACCTTTCAATACAGTTCCAAAATGCAAGCAAAACCATTAGAATTTGTTTGAACTGTATAACCTAAAACATTAATGAAAATAGTCTCTTGCCACATTGCTACATGAAAGTCCTAGATAACACTATCAGGTAATGTCTATTGCTAAGGCAGTGGTAATAGAAAGGTGACCTAATGGAGTGTATGAGATTAAATGTTGAAATTTCAACATCTGTCTGCCTACTATGAACTTAATCAGCTGGATGGTGTGATGGTGCAGAACACAGTTCATGAATTTACAGGGCAACTTTGAGGAGACCTTCAAGACAGGTCTTGGTCCTCAACCACGGCACATTTCTCCTTGGCAGGACTGTGTTAGGACTGTCTCACCATCAACCCACCACATTCTTTCAGGCATGAGGGATGGCAGTGCCAGCTGGCACCAGCCCTCAGCAGCTCTTCCCCCCACACCCAGCAGCCCTTCCAAGCTTCATCTGGTGCCTAGGATGGTGTGAAAAAACCACATTAATTCCCACCAGCAACATGGAGTAACAACGTTGGAGAAGCTTTGGCTTGAGCTGTTGACTGGAACCTGTAACTCCATGTGGGATCATTAGGAAGAAAGTCCATGTACTGTTCTGACAGTGGAAGAGCACACAACTCTGGTCTCTCCCACCCATGCGAACGATTAACCCAGCACATCAAGCCATGGGGGAAGGCAGCAGGAACCAGCCCCAGCGGCTGCTCCG